CCCCGATTTTGATGAAACTCATATATGTTATAGGGAACTAAAAATTAAGGGACACGTATTTTTTCTTAGCGGCCCATACGCGAGTTTTGGGGGTGAAAATGCCCTCTGAAGTTGACCACCTCTCGGGGTGATTTTCCAATTGCGATATAAGGAGGCTATTTGGACAAATGTTTTGCAGTGTAAAATGAACCTCACAAGGAATGATGGAAATGAGAATTGAAACCGTCCCCGGGGGGTGCAATTTGGAGGGTAAACTACCCTTGTGAAGAGTCATTTTCCTAATAGAAAAAAAAATATTGCTGAGAATTTTATGAAACAAATTTCCTTTGAAAGAGCATGAAAAAACACAAGATACCTTTCTTTGGATTTTTTTTTCAATCGAAATTTGAAAGAAAAAAATAGATTTTTTGCGAATTGCGAATTTTGAATTTTTTTCCCGTGTAAAACAAAGCTTATGGGGAATGATGAGAAAAACCATTGAAATAGTATCCGGGGGGTGAAATCTATAGGATAAACTACCCTTGTGGAAAGACATTTTTGTAATAGAAAAAAAAACCATTGATGAGAATTTTGGGAAACAAATTTCATTCGAATAAAAATGAGAAATTTTACGGAAAAACCATCGATTTTTTGTGAAATTAAAATTTTTTTTCGTTGCATAAAACAAAGTTTATGGGGAATGCTCAGAAAAATAATTGAAATAGTCGCCGGGGGTGAAACTTGAGGGCGATGCAACCCCTGTAGAAGTAATTTTTTCTAATAAAAAAAATATGTGTATTGGTCAGCATATTATGGAACAAAATTTATTCGAGAGAGCATGAAATAATACGGAATATCTCCTCTCTGATATTTTTTGAAATCAAAATTTTCACCTATGAAAATGTCGATTTCTAGTAATATGTTACTTGCAAAATTTTGATTACCTGTTCGCCTGTTCACCATAGCCCTGGCTAGATCGTGAGGATTGAATGAAAACTCGTTATAGAAAGACAACAATGATAATAATAATCCCTGGATGATGGAATTCTCAACAGACATTGACATTGTTATGGAAGCTCAGACCATTTATTTCTTTGACGTATGTTCTTAATTAGCATATTTTTCATTATAGTCAATCTGCAGTATGGATAATATTAGGGAATGTAATTCTTACAAAAATGGTATTCGTTAAAAAATGGCGTAAACAAAGGGATTTTTTGCACCATGAGCATCTAACTATTGCCATATTGGAACAGCCTTCAATGTCACAGTGCGGATGAGATGATTGCCCAAATGCAAAATCGATAGGATTTTCAAATTCATCTCGTTTTTTAACAATGAAACCACTCTGAAACCAAGCATAACGAAACAAATTTTGATACCTTGTTGATGATAATTGATCCTGGACTAAAGACTAACCTTTATGATATTGTTCCGCAAATGTAAATTAAGATCATAGTCCGGAAGGATAACACTATCCGAAAAATGACGGACATAATTCTTCCATATTCTAAAACCATATACATCAAGAGGTTGAATTTTCCCAGTGGTCCCCTTCGGTATCAACATAGTTAATAATTCTTTATTTGGAGGAGTAACTTCTTGTACGGCTTCAGGACAGTGTCCGCTCCACGAATCTATTAAGTGGCCATGGTACTTTCGATTCCTCCGTCGGTACATGGCATGGATTTTCAATCCAATTATTTTTGTATCAATCCCTCATCTAGGTTGATGAAAAATTAACTACGAGTATAAAATTTGATGATGAAGCGACTAACATTTTCCGTTTTTTCGGAATATGAAAAAAAAGTAGATGTTATTACCACAGGGATCTGTAATAGTGTTAGATTTATTCATATTTTTTTCACCACTTCTCTCGAAAAACGCGAATTCTTACACCCTGCAGAACTCAAAAATACACCTAGTGAGATATGTTATACAATTTTCAATTATCGCGAGCATAAAAAATAATTGGATCGAAAATTTTATCGGTAATTCCCTTGATCTCGTTAGCTCAGAGGATAAAAACGTTGATGCTAAGGTAAACATAAGATGGCCGTAGATTTCTTCGATATAACCTAGAATGCAAGTTTGTTATTTATTCTCAACATGCATGAGGAACTTGAATAGTACAAATGTGGAGGAAAAATCAATAATATAATTATAGATTTACGTTTACAAAGTTATGGTGAAATGGATGGTTAGCTGCGGTATTGTGAGTTCACAGAATGCAATTGAAAGTTGACAACATAAATTGTTGATTGAAACTCATTCTTCTCCACAAATATGAGAGTATAGAAGAATCAAGTAATAAAAAACATTTGTTAACAAGTTACTCCCATTTTTCGACAAATGGAATGCTTGAGAATTACGACGGAAGCGATAAATAATTCCAAATGTAACTTCTTTCTTCCAGTACAACCCCAAGAAATTCTGAAATATCGCCGGAAATTTGTATAGGTCATTGTGTCGAGAGAAAACTACCAGAATATTTACGAGATCGTGCATAAGTCTGAAGATTTTCTGTTGAATGGAAAGGAAAAAATTGGATTTTCAATAGGCAGGGTTGAACGTCAGAGAAACTGTCAATAAAAAAAAACTACAAACTCTGATAGCCGGAAAACTACAAACTCTGATAGCCGCATTACCATCACACAGTTCATCAACGATTATTTCTACTAAATTTACATGGATGCCAAATGCTGCAGGATACACCCCTGCTTCTATTGAATTCAACAACAAGGATTACTCCAATCGCCATACTGTCAATAGATTTTTCAGAGGATATGAATGTCCACAGTGATGATGTATCGATCTTATCTTGGTGAACATTGTTTATTGAAATGTTGAATCAGTGTGTGCATCAATTAATTTCAATACCTCATGCAGAGACGAATCAATATCAGGAAAGGGAGTACAAATTTATTTCGCTTGTATAATGAATCAATGACTGTAATATTATTCTCTTAATTTTGTAGAACTGTTATTTGGACATTACATAAATGTATTGAGAATAAAATAATAAATTCTTGGAATCCCACTGAAACCTCTCACTCCTGAACTTATCAATCGATTTATCAAGTAATTCCCAGTAATTCTGGGGACTTAGTGACTGAATGTTCCAATACGTATGAAGAAAATGACTGAGAAAAACTTGCTTCTTTGAGAATTTGACTGAATCGGTATTGGATTCTATTCATTTTCTATCGGAATTTTATTTTTATTTTTTTGCGCCAGTTCGATTAAAGACTATGTAATTTAACCCTGCCATTTTGTTAGAGATATTGAAGGAAAAAAGTCCATAGATTTCGATGTTCTTCTATCAATTCTTGTGCATTAATTTTCCATTTTCAACCATCATTTTTATATTCATTTGTTTTTCCTCATAAAATCGTAGAATACAAACTGAGATCATTTTTCTTCAAGAATTCTTATAGAAATAATCCTAATAAAATGAGTTATATGGAACAATAAAAAGCTATATAGCTTTAATAGCTTTCGTCCGATGAACGAATATCTATTGAATAACTCACGTTCTATTTGGATTGAAAATTGACATAAGAAAGCAGTAGAGTTTTCTAATAGAGATCTAATAGGACTATAGAATATACAACAGAATCAGCGCAAAAAACAAATAGAATATTTCAATAGAAGTCCAATAGAATTTTATAGCAAATTCGCTAGGTTTTCTATTAAATTTTTTCATGCACGGAAGCATAAGATTTTTCGAATAAATGCAAATTTATTCCAGCCATAATGCAAGTGACTTGATTCCCGATTCATCAGTACGTCCTGAGACCACAGTCTCCTCGTTCTGGTCGAGTTGGAGATCCAGGGCTTCAATCTTTTTGTGATGTTTGAGTGGAACACATTTTTCTCCCCAGATGGTGCATTGAGTCCTCCAAGCAGTCCAATAGCATATTTCGAAATTTCTGCAATAGGGTGCTTCAATTGATCGAGTTCTTGAAGATCCATTTGGGTTAGAGAGATCAGTAGTGAGTAATCTTCTGGAAAATTTTTAGATATGGAGAATAGACCTCCACAGGTCTGTATTCTGTTCTCCATACCGTTGGGAGTGCAATGTGGTTCAGTTGTTCTAGAAATGTTTTTTATAATCTTTTAAAATTTATTGCTAGTCTTCCAGTAACAGTTTCGAAATTTTCAACAACTTCGTTCAAGACCAGAGGAGGATTATTATCCATATGGAAAAACTGAAAAAAAAAACTAGGTTTCTCCGTTTTCTCCAAGACATTTTTTTTCCTAATCGCTATTGGAATTCTGTGGCAATGCGTCTTGAGATTCTCTTCGAATTTTATTGAAAAATTGTAATAGTTTTTTGCGCCAATTCTATATAAGATTATGCAATTTGAGGGTGTCGTTTTGTTGAGGAATAATCGAAAAAAAAGCTTATACATTTTTATTTTTTTGTAGAAATTATTGCGCATAACATTTCCAATTTTTTCTCTTAAGGTAAAGGGAGGGGTTTCTGAACAACCTAAGAAGGGAGTAGTAGTTGATCACTGTTTTTTAGGGACATCAATTACATGATTCCGATGGCCAATCGGAGTATAGATATCATCCTTTCTACAACTGTGATTAATTGATCGATAAGTTCAGGTGAACTCTTAAAATTGTCAAAATTCTGATAAATGATCAGATACTACTCCCTGATTAGAAAACCATCGCCTCACATTCTTATTCATCGAACATGATCAATTGCAAGGAAAAAATATAGAAAAATCAACAACCACGGACTTTATGCTACAAACAAAAATAGGCATTCGAGAATGCAATGGAATGTTGCATAATTTTGTTATCGAATTGGCGAGGAAAACGAGTAGAATTGTCCAATACAACTCTAATAAAACTCCAATACAATTCTTGTAGAGTCTCGATAGTAATTTAATAGAATTTCCTAGAGAAAGCGCTGTATTTGGCAAAAAGTTGACACGTGTACGCAGGGGTATCTGAAAATTATAATAGTACAATAAATGAAATATATAATTTAAAAAACTGGATATTTGTGAAGAGTGTTCCTAGCAAAGATTATGAAATAAATCTAATGGAAATAATATTGCAACTGGATAATTCAGCAACGCAACAGACGATCTGATAGGCATTTAATAGTGTGACAAATGACCATCGGACGTCAATTATATGCGGTAAATCATCAATTTCGAATTCATTTTTCAATATTGTTTGGAAACGCTCTTTGGAAATGTACCTTTCTTCTATTTCTTACTCTGGGAGATATCAACATACTCTCAACAATTCATACGACGTGCTTGCTGTGATTGTAGTGATTAACTTGTCATCACCGGTGAGATTTTACTCGAAGGATTCATATTGTTTCCAAGCTCGGCACATTTTTTATTGATTACATCGAGCTCCTTCAATTATGCATCGTTTTCACACTACTGGCTTCGTCTTCTTCTATCTTCTGATTGGCTATTGAGCATCGCCTGTGCAATCTGAATATTGTCTGCCCAAATATCTGGAACATATCAAAATGTTTTTGTTCTTTCTCAGATTTTCGACAAAAACTCAGTTTTACGCTAATGAATACGATGTGAGAAAATGAGAAGTTTGAATTTTTTTCCAAAGTACTCTCTGCTCAATGATAGCATCTATCGCTAGTAAATTCCTCATACCAAATTATCTTCAATTGTATCATTTCCAATCATAGACTGCCTGTTTGGTGCGTCATACATTGTAATATCTTAATTCCTAGATGCTTCAGAGAGTCCATACGAGCGACTACTCCAATTTGTATATGAAAAATTGACTCAAAAGTTTTTAAGTTGTTTCCTATTTTTTATCACGAAGTATTAATGAAGACAAAATCTATGGCTTCCATTTTTTTCCGTTATTTAAGGTGGCTTGTAATTAATTAAAAGTTAATAAATAAAATTTGAAGAAGGAAAGAAGGAACCATCTCCAATATCTCCGTCAGTAATTGAGTTAAAGAGCTCGGGTTGCGTTTATCTTTCTTGTTTTGGACTATACTTTTTTGATACAAAATACAAAACGACTTGAAAAATAAGTTGTCGAAGTCGTCTTTATGATTGCGATTCATTATATAGAAAACACAGTCGAAAACAACTTAACATGATCATTGTTTTGCGACGCATCTCACGCATTCGATACTCGTTCCATGGGTCTCTTGAAACTTCTCGAGTTTCCGCTCACGCCGCCATATCTTCTTGGTCGTTCGTGCGTCTTTCTCTCTCTTTCACTCACTCATCGTAGCGGTCCATCGCGGTTTCTGTCGTCTTTTGAGATTGATCCAGCTGTAATCTCCGAAATTTATTTTTAATGTTAAATGAGGCCCTCCTCTCTCCCCCACAAATTTTTCAACAAAATCTGTGGTCCTCCTTGATGAGTTATCCTTGCGGACATTCGTAGTCTGCTGATAGTGCCTGACATCCCATCGTTTCTCAAAAGTTCAACCCAATGTGTTATGCATTTATGTTGAGAACTTGATAACTTCTTGGGGAATAATGAATAGCCATCAGTCGGCAAGTCAGCGGTCGGGAATTCGGATAATTGTCCCAGCCGGATGATTGAGATCATATATTGTCTCATATCGGCAGCGTTCCTTGAATAGTTGATCCTCGATACTAACATTGGATCATTATGTAGAGCTAATGTTGTTGCGAATGCAAGGGCGTAAACTCCACAACTGAAGTTATCAGGCTGCCTAGTGACAGGTTGGAATACAACATTACTTGAGTGCAGATGAGGATAACGTTTTTTAATATATTTCTTCTCATCTGATACCAACTGCTCATATTCTACTCGCTGTCCACTATCGCAAATGAATAAATTGACTCCATCATAATAGGCACAACACCAATGCCCATTTGCATTACCGCCCAGTATTTGTATGTCATGGATGCTCTGAGATGGCTGGATGAGATGACGAACAGCGAAATAATGGCAATAATAGACGAAACAATCGATTGATCCTTCAATTATTTTTAGGAATTGATCGATTGCAGAACAAGACAACATTTCAGTCACTGAAGCAATCTCCGGGATTACATCTTCATTCGTAATGTTCTGTAAGACTATTTCAATGGCTTCAATTTCCCAACCTTCAGGTTCGTAATCATCGATTTCATCATCTTTGATAATCACCCACCCAGGATCGTGGTGGTGATTTCTGTCAGGATTTCTGCGATCATTTGTGTTTGGAAATGTCATATCTGCAGAAGCTTGATCCTCCTGATCCTGTCCATCCGGGGTGGTGCAATCAACAGAAGTTTGACTTTCTGGATCTTTTGGGGATGGACTGTTCATATCCACAGGAGCTTCATGGTCTTTAAGGGACACTTGAGTTATGTTCCGCTCAATAATAGGCGAAGCCATCTTCTGTCGCTTTGAAACGTCATGAATTACTTTATCTCCTTTATTTGCTTTTCTTTTTTGAGTAGCAGGCTCTGAAGCATTTCTCTTTTCTTGTGCATCGAGGATGTATTGCGGATCTTTAATAGGTTTATTTCTACTTTTCCTACTGTCAATTATTTCTGGTAATAGACAATTCATATAGAATTGTTCCAATTTCCCTTCCATTCCTGTGGCCCAAAAAGTATCGTATCTCAGGACTTNCAATTATTTCTGGTAATAGACAATTCATATAGAATTGTTCCAATTTCCCTTCCATTCCTGTGGCCCAAAAAGTATCGTCTCTCAGGACTTTCACCTTCTTAATACCTTTTGGTGTCCACACGGCAACGATGCAATATTATCGGTGTGTGACATGCAATTGACCTTGAACTTGATAATAGAAAACATGGTTCTGATTCACTCTGCGCGGCATTCATTCCTTTCCCTTTACCCTTCTTCACTGTATCAAAAATTCGAGCATAGCGGGGGAATTTCTGAATAGCCTCTTCTGGAGTGCAATCATCGGCTAATGACAGATATTTTATTTCAACAATCCCATCCTTGCCAATGAGACCGTCAGGAGTGGCTCCCAAGTATGGCATTCTTTTATCAATGAACAATCCACAAGGAGAAATTGTCGTATCTAGAACTCTTGCTAGATCTTCAATTGCTCGTGCTTCATTCTTGATACCATAGCGAGTTGCTAGAGCATCTACCACACGTGGATAACAAATGGAAGAAACGATGCGACTACAGGATGTCCACTCCCGCATACGACAAATTTCTCCGAATTTGGAGGCAGTGATCATGCATCTACGATATTCCTTCCATATTTCAGATCTCCACTGGTCAATCGTTTCCTGCAGGACTTCATCCTGTCTCAACAGCCGTTCTCTCAATTTGTGGAAATGTTGAGCAACGAGTAATTCATACATTTCTGGGGAAATGTCGGGCTTATTACAGTTTGTACCGTAATTTCTGTCAGTAGTTCGTTTGTACTTGTGTTTTCTCCTGTTGTTCTATTGGTAAGCAGCTGTCCTTTCATTCTGAGCTTTTCTGATGGCCTCCATTTTTTATATAGCCGTGAGAACAGGCAAATTTTTGTACTCGAAGTATCTACTCAGAGCTTCTTACGTATTGGATTGAAGGGCTGAAACGTAGGCTCTCGCTAAATAAGCATCACGTAGGGAGTAATTTATACGCCTCCCTCCATTAGCTTTATTTTGAATGGAATTATACCATTCGGCAGGATTGCTATCTTCATGCTCCAATAAACTGGGGGCATTGGTAATCAATCGATTGACCGCCGTTTCGATTTCCGAATAAAAGCCTACTTCTCGCAGTTGTGGGGTAAGGTCTTCTTCCGATCGATCACAATCCTTAAAGGAAGAGTTGCAGCGATCATGATTACCAAAAAAATGGCCAATCATATTACTACAGTCTTCAACGAGACCAGTGACTTGAGCATTTGGACTTGTGTCACGGTTCTGGTAATACGCTACACGACTCTCGACATACTGTCGCATAGGCAACCCACTCTTTTTGACACGAGTTCGGAGTTTAGTGATACATCCTTTGGGCAAAGGTTTTGCTGCTTTTTGCAGTGAAACAGCAGCAAGTTTGTTACAAAAACATCTATACAAATGAAATATACATTCAGTTTTATCAATAGTGATATTCTGTACCTTATAAGGCCTGTTGTGGACAAGTTTGTCGTGAACACTGCTATCACCATCACCAATGTATGTTTTATAGATCAAACCATGCATGTCGATACTTTTGTTGAATCCTTCGAGAATTATATCAGGTTCCATCGAAGTTGTGGATTGATTATGTCCCCAATTCTTATAGCATGTGTGCTGCGGTACTTTCTTCCCAAGTACTTCAGATCGCCTGCACTTGACACAGTATTTATTTCGAACACCTACAAATAATATTCTCCGGGTATAGGCACCAATAAGTACTGCCGCGCCAGACAATGCATCATGCCTTGAATTGGCGTAGGATCGTTTGCTATATACACCATCTCCGATGACAGTAGTATATGGATATATGCCATGCAAAATTCGGCCCTCAGCAATAGCTAATCTTTTTTCTTCTCTCCCTGCATCTCGAAACTCTTCTTCGCACAATAATATTATAATTGGGAGTAATTTCTCCCGATTTTTGCTATAAATTTTGGGTGTTACGAATAGTGCACTCATACTTGCAAGTATTTCTTGAAGTGTGGAGAATCCCACCCCAGCAGTCAACGACCCATAAACGATACCTTCCATAATTGATATCTTATTAGTTGGAGTTTGTGGATTTGTCCAAATCTTGTCTTTATAGTGACATTTCAAACATATGATGTGTAAGAGGGTCCGCATACCTCGGTCTGAGACTTTAAATAGACGGAGGTCTTTGAAACTACCTACACAATTGTTATGCTGATCAAATTTTTCATGCAAAGTCTCAAACATATAGGTTAAATCTACGATTCGACGACCATCGACTATTGATTCTTTGAACGTGGCATCGAACTGAGCACAACTCAGTTCACACACACCATCAACAGATGAATTGTCCGCTTCGTCTTCGGACGATTGTGGTGTATCCATATGAATACTAGCATTCATCATATCTACATCGGCTAAACCTTCACAATAGGTGTCATTTTGATATGACTGTGCTTCGAATCCCATACTGTGTTCAGAGTTCTGTACAAATGCAGGAGTAGGTTCTTCGAGAACCAATGTTGTATCACGAGCAGTGACGAGTGAATCATCAACGTCGTCATCAGAAGGAACTGAACGCACTGAAGGATTCGGAATAGACCTGATGGAATAGCTAACCGGAATAGTGATGGATTCTGCCGATCGCACTCCAAGATTGATACTTTTCACGGTTTCATCATCTTTTTGTGCAGCAGTCGACTTTCGTCGTACATATTTCCGGAGACTGTTAATGCATAGTTTACTGTAATTTTTTGTAGGCACTGTTAGATTATTATCATGCAATGATTCATCAGTTTTTACTGATTGGTGTAAATTACTGATAACCGCTCTCTGTGGAAGAACTGATTTCAATTCTACGGAAGCGGAAGAGGTGGAAGTCTTTGGAGTG